CGCACTACTGGCTTCACTGGCACTCTCTCACCTGGAAGCCAGTGGTGTCAGAATATTATGCTCTAGCCTGCAGTGGGGTGCTCTATAGCGAGTACAACCCTTCTAGGGTTAGCTATTTGTACCACCATTGTTGCTAGTGCAAACCCTCCTTTCTTCATTCTTACTTTCTACAGCTAGTTCTGACATGCTATCAGAGCAGGTCGACCCTCCTGGGTCGATCCTGTGGGTGGGCCCGCCACCTAATGCTTCCGCTGCTGTCCTGCTTATCGCGCGCCTCGGGCGCGCGACGTTTTCTGCCTACTGCGCGCTCGCAAGGCGCGGCGTTTTTAGGGTTTCGGCGGTTTTCATCCCGCCGTGCGCTCGGGGCGCGCGGCGGTTTTCTGCCCGCCGTGCGCCCCGAGGCGCGCGGCGGTTTCCCACCGTCGAAGTGCCCCCCGTCGCCCGTCGAAGCGCCCTCCCCCCGTCGCCCGTCGAAGCGCCCCTGTCGCCCGTCGGAGCGCCCCCCGTCGCCCGCCAAAACGCCCCCGTCGCCCGTCGAAGCGCCCCTGGGACCCGCGCGCGGCCCGTACGGGCTGCGCCAGGCCCGCGCGCGGCCCGTACAGCCCGCGCGCGGCCCGTACGGGCGGCGCCAGGCCCGCGCGCGGCCCGTACGGGCTGCGCCAGGCCAGCGCGCGGCGCGGGCAGCCTGCGCGCGCCTCGTCCGTCCCCCTCTCGCCGTCCCCCGCGCTCCTGCCCCTATCCCACCCGTTTTAGGGTTTGGGGATGTGGAGTGTGGGGGTGGCGGGTGTGGGGGTGCCGGTTGTGTGCCCCGTCCCCTCCTTCTCCTCCTCCTCCGTCTCCCGCTGCTGCAGCTGCCGCTCAGGGGGGTGGTTGTGTGGGGAGCCGAAGGAGTGGTCCTAGGGGGGTGAAGGGGGAGTGGAGCTAGGGGCGCAGCAGGGGGTGTGTGTCGAGGGGTGTGGGACTGTTGGGGGAGGTTGAGCGGAGGTTGCCGTCGTGTCGTACGCAGCGCCTGTACTCCGGGGCACTCATTCCCGGTAGCTCAGAGAGCCGGTTGCGCCGTCGCCTGTGGGTCCGTTGCTCCTGCCGCGCATATTAGCCGCGGAGCCTGTTACTCCTGTACTCCGGGGCACTCATTCCCGGTAGCCACGTTGTCGCACCAGAGCCGTCTGTTGCCCGTGTGTCTGCATCTTCAGTCGTCGCCTCCTATCTACTCTCCTCTCACCAGCCCTCCTCCTCCTCACTTGCCCCCTGTGACTGCCTCTAGCTTTGCTCATAATTGTGAACCTTAAACTATTGCTTCTTGCTTGTGCTCAGAATGTGTGGTGACATCGTGATCCACCCTGAGCTTGTACTACTTTGCTTGCTCTGCTGATTACACCCCACTTTGACTATGGGGGTGTGTCAGAATATTATGCTCTAGCCTGCAGTGGGGTGCTCTATAGCGAGTACAACCCTTCTAGGGTTAGCTATTTGTACCACCATTGTTGCTAGTGCAAACCCTCCTTTCTTCATTCTTACTTTCTACAGCTAGTTCTGACAAGTGGAGTCAGAGGCGACCAGTCTACGGTCTCCGCCAGGCGCCCCGTGAGTGGCACAACACGCTGCACACCACTCTTGCCGCCCTTGGGTTTTGTCCTTTATCCACTGACCCATCACTGTTCGTTCGTTCTAGCCCATTCGTCCTTGTCTACATCGCCAGCAACATGCCTGATGTAGTCGCCAGATACTTCGCCACCCTCACAACAGCTATTCAGTGAATAGGATAGTGTCTCTCTGTTGCAACAAAGCGAGAGAGGATGCTGAGGGGAAAGGCGGGTTCCGGACGAGTACACGTCATCAGGTACATGAGGGACGGTGTTGCTTCTTCTCTTGACTAGTTTTGTAGCCATGTCGGTTTCTTGCTCTCGATGATTGATGCTGTTAGGTTGTAATAAAGTTAGATATAAGGGGTATAACACAATTAGGGCTGCATACATATATCCCATCCTCCTATCCACTCCATATTCCGTTGCTTTACAATTCGAGAGCTGGTGGCAAGCAGCGAGCCGCACGCTGCAGGCCAATCAAGCACACACTGGTTCGGCAAGCAACACGATGGCCCTAGCTGGTGAGATGCTGCCGCACATAGGTGGCGGGCTGGTACTAGGAAAAGATGGAGGGCGAGTACGAGGGTGACGAGAAAAAGAAACACGTGAGGTGGGACGAGACGCATGCTTTCTACACTTAGTAAGGGAGTCTGTCAAGATTTTTTTTTTTAATCAGAGTAAATTACTCTGTTTCTCTGAAAATCAGAGTGATTTTTTGGGGGTCTCTCAGACGTCTCTGGGTAAGTTTTTTTAAAGGAAGCTTTTCTCTTATTAGCCAGGGTTTTGTTTCTAGCTACTCCGATGCGTCAGTGTATTCTTCTGGCGGATACATTTTTCTCTGTATTGGGTACAGACGCTTTGACCATACCACCCTGGTTTCTAGCGAAAAGTGGTCAAGATCGATAAATAATTGGTCTAAAGATTCAATCTACACCTGTTTTGTTTTCGCGTAGCACAGTGGTTTACTAGATTTCATTGACACGCAAATGCCCAGGTTCAATACTTGGAGAGATCATTCAGAGTTATGAGGAAAGTTTCACTGACTACGCAGGGTTTCAGGGCAATGCTCAGGATGTACCCTGGTTTTCAGAGTTCCCAAAAAATTAGCCCTGGAAATCCGAGTAGTGAAAAACGAAACAAAAAACCCTTGGAGTCGGTTAATAGAGAGTTACGACGAGGAACAGGCAGAGGGGAGCATGGTGATATCTACGCCTAAGACAGGTCAGGCGGTGGCGAGGAGGAGTGGTATCAATGGTAAGTGGCCCTGCAGAGGCAGGCAGAAGACCGAGAAGGCGGTGAAGCGCCAACCTAGGTATCGGCAGCGATGACTACGGCTCCCAGCTATGCGTGCAGCCACGCGAAGTGAAGGGGCGGCTCGCGGTTGCGCGCAAGAGCTCGTGCAGCAGCACAGAGTGTTGCGCGCTGCGGCAGCGCGCAGCGGCACGGAGGGCGCCCGCAGTGGCAGCACGCAGCAGCAGCAAGTGCAGGAGCTTGCGCAGTAGAGCGGATTTGCGTGCGCAGCAGCAGTAGTGAGCAGTGGCGCGCGAAGCGTGGCAGCGCACAGCACCGAAGTTTGGCAGCGCGTAGTAGCAGAGCACACAATATGGCAGTGCTTAGCGGCTTGGGGAGCAACGCGCAGTGTGGCAAGGCACAGCTTGGCAGGGGACAACGTAGGGCAGCAGTGGCACACACAACAGCAACAGCTCGCACAGTAGAGGCAGCAGTAACAGCAGTAGGAGCCATAACGAAGCGCTCATACAGAGGTAGCAGCGCACAGAGCAGACGAGGGCCGACTAAATGAACCTACTCGATGATACCACGTCAGAATTATGAATAGTGGAGTGAATGACAAAGGAACAAGGGTGATACAAATAGAAATTCTAAAAGTGTTGTACCCCCTGATAGCTAACCTCACTATTACAGCTTAACACAGAAACATAACAAATATGTTTGACACACGATACCATGTTACAATGAGAATGTGTATCCTGGTTGGCAAGCAAGGGTAGCAGCAATACCGTAATTACCCGGGTAATAGACCCCCCCCTCATATAGACCCCCGGGTCTTTAATTGGGGGGTTGGTCCTAATGTTATATGCACTTTCGTAATAGACCCCCGCTTTTGTAACGAATCCGGATGAGACCCACCCTTACTGTATACACTTCTATTCTTAGCGAGACTGTTGGAAACGGCAGACAACTGTAGCGAGATTTGACTGCAGAGTTTGACAGGACTGCAGAATTAGGGCGTGTAAATTGTAATTACCAGACCAATTTTCCGCCCTTTGCGCGTTTCTGGCGATTGCGAAACGATGTAATTACCGCCACAATTTTCGCGAGAGCGTGGCGCATCCACCACAAACCATCCCCGTAATTGAAAGCAAAAAAAATGATTCTTACTACTGCATTCGAACGGGGTATGGAATTTAGGGGGCTCGGAGGCTTAGACCAGAGTGTTTGACAAAGCATTAAGTTTAGGCAAGCACAAAGGTTTTTCCCCTCGCTGAGGAAACCTGTCTACGTAGGTCCCAAAATGCAGTGCATACAATTTCTATGCAGAATACCCCTTCTATTCGATAAAACCTTGGTAACTACTCAAAACGACGTAACCCTAATTCCTCGCAATCGCCAGAAACGCCCAAATGAACGACCATAGCGTTTGTTCATTACAATTTTACACGCCCTTCGGCTGCGCGCATGCCTTGCGTCACGGTGTGATCAAAATTCTCCCTGACACAACATTAGAATTCTCGTTCTCTGCTGCTGGAATGTATGACTTTGGTATTTTAATTTTGCATAGGGTAGGATTAGACCCCGGGTCTATAAATTTACACCCACTTAATAGCCCCACCCCCCATTTTTTTCCGGGGTAGGATTAGACCCCCGGGTTTATTACCTGGGTAAATACGGTATGACAAACACCATGCTTCGACAACAACACTGATGTGTCATAGCTCAACAGTGAAGCTAGCATATGACCACGATAGAATAAGCTTCTCCAAAATTTTGACAAATCAGACAAAAAGATACAGTTACTGAGTCCCTAGTTGCTACACAACCCAACTATGGTACCGTATTCTCCCGGACAAACACCCCCCATGTTAGAGCACCCCCGGGTAGCTTGTACGGGGTGGGTGCTATGGGCGACCTCATTTTCACTATACCCCCCTTTTTTGCTGATTCTCTATAAGACCCTGGGGGGGGGGGGGGGGGGGGGGGGGGGGGGGGGTGTTATAGTCGGGAAAATGATAACTTTGGTTACATTTCATGCAGGTGACATTACAGCAACTACAGAAGTACTGCGCCAGCACCTAGACATTAACAATGTCACCTAGACTGCATCTCCATAGCCACAACGTCACCACACACTAGACATCAACAAGTTCAACTACAGAGAGCTCTAATTAGTGTTGTTCATTCAGAATCGTCCCCAGCATGCCACTCTTCACATTCTTCCCCGTCATAGCGGCCAGGGCGCCACCACTCGTCATCGGTGGGCTCTTCTGCCTCCCCGCCTTCTTCAAGCACGACCCCTTCCTCCTCTGCCGCCGCCGCCTCCGCGTCCTCCTCGGCGGCGTCATCCTCATGTGCCGCCGCCTGCAGCTCCTCGGCCGGCATGGGGACTTCGACGTAGAAGGGGTTGACAACGAGATCGTCGTCAACCAGGTCGTTGACATCGTCAAGGACCTCCACCTCACTCTTGTCACGCATGTGGGCAAGGATGAGGTGGTCCTCGCTGCTATCGATGGGGGTGGAGATCCCGCACGTGACGAACGCCTTCTTCACGAGCTCCTCTGGGGTTGCTTCCCAGGACTCATCGATCCAACAAGGCACCAGCTCCGCTGGCGGCTTCTTGAGATTGCCTGGGGGACAGGGAAGGGAAGTCATGGACAAACGTGAGCGTACAGAGCGCACGCTGACATGAATTGAACGTTTTGCCAGCGGAACTTAGCGCTTCAACTCACCAGCCTTGGTAGTGAGGTTGATGCCCTCTTTTTCAAACCAGAGACTGTAGCGATGACGCACCCCGCACTTGAACGCGCGGTTCACCGACACATCCAGAGGCTGCACCAGCAGTGTGCAGCCCCCTGGGATGATAGCTCGGGACAGCCAGAACATCTGCATGGTCTGCCCGACCGCCTCGGTCAAATGGCCGCGGTAGGAGTCGAGCACAACCAAGCCATCCCTGCGGCGTCCGGTTGTGTCAAGCAGCGGCTTCAGAAACGGCACCATCACCATCCCCTTGTATTTCACAAGCATGGTGCCAAGGACTCGGTTTTGCGCCCCCGTTCAACAATCTAAGAGTGAGGACAGAATACTGTTTTTGTTTCCTTTCTTTTCTGCTAAAAATATGTTCTATATGTTCTATATTATGTAGCTTTTTCCTATGATTAGACACCCCCCTTTTTTCCCTGTATTTTTAAATCTACCCTAGGGTGTTATGTGCGGGAGAATACAGTACCAGTACCATAAGCCCTGCATGCATGCTCAATTGGTTGATGAAAAATGACGATCTTTCCACTAAAACCGTACGCTAGTATAAAACAAAGAGTACAAGCAAACCCACAAAGAGAACAACTTGGAGGGGGGGAAGTGCAGGAGAGGATGAGAAAGGGAGGGTCATATATGGTAACTTTCCTTGAGAGTGGTCTACCAACCACCTCTTAAACCTGTCTGAGGTGCACAGGAACAGCAACCAATCCCCATCGTTACACACAACATGTCCTTCATTTTTCGCGCTGCGCTATTGATTTAGGCCTCGTGGTTTGGCTAATAAATGGAACCGTAAGCGCCATAGGAAGGTACGGTACTATCACCCGGAGATTCATACGTGTTGCTGGAAGTATATGCGCCATTGGTGGAAGTATAAACGCCAATGCTGGAAGTATATGCGCCGTTGGTGGAAGTATAGTATCCGCCATTGGTGGAAGTATCAAAGCCAATGCTGGAAGCATATGGGCCACTGGTGGAAGTATAGTACGCGCCATTGGTGGTAGTATAAATGCCAATGCTGGAAGTATATGCGCCATTGGTGGAAGCTTCTGCAGCGTTGTTCGAAGTTTCTGCAGCGTTGCTGGAAGTTGCTGCAGTGTTGCTGGAAGTTTCTGCAGCGTTGCTGGAAGTTGCTGCAGCGTTGCTGGAAGTTGCTGCAGTGTTGCTGGAAGTTTCTGCAGCGTTGCTGGAAGTTGCTGCAGCGTTGCTGGAAGTTGCTGCAGTGCTGCTGGAAGTTGCTGCAGTGTTGCTGGAAGTTGCTGCAGTGCTGCTGGAAGATTCTGAAACGCCGCTGGAAGGGGTTGTAGAGGCTCCTGTGGTTTCTGCAGCACAGGCAACAAGAGAGGGTGCAGGTGAGCTCGTGGGTCCATCCATCCACCCATCTTGAGAGAGGGAGAGTGAGAGAGAGAGAGAGAGAGAGAGAGAGAGAGAGAGAGAGAGAGAGAGAGAGAGAGAGAGAGAGAGAGAGAGAGAGAGAGAGAGGGAGGGAGGGCGGAGGAGAGAGCTACAACGACAAGACCTTGCTGAGCGAAATCTACAGGACGCTTACTTACTTGACGACTGGCATGCGCTGCTGACAGCATAGTAGCCTGTGTAGCACACGCATGTCACCACCAGACGGTTATCGATGGGTGCAATGCACTTGGAGTTGGCGGGACAGAGCGCACACATGTCTGCAGCACAGCGCAGCGCGGTCCGGGGGAAAGGGGAGGCAGATATGAGGCTCGCCACTCACCCACTCGTGCGCTCTGCAGTGCAACCAGCTGCTTTGTGCAGGAGAGTGTGGAGCGAGAGAGAGAGAGAGTGTGGAGCGAGAGAGAGAGTGTGGAGCAAGAGAGAGAGAGTGTGGAGCGAGAGAGAGAGTGTGGATCGAGAGAGAGAGAGAGAGAGAGAGAGAGAGAGAGAGAGAGAGTGTGGAGCGAGAGAAAGAGATTGTGGAGCGTGCAAGAGAGAGAGTGTGGAGCGAGAGAGAGAGAGAGAGAGAGAGAGAGAGAGAGAGAGAGAGAGAGAGAGAGAGAGAGAGAGAGAGAGAGAGAGAGAGAGAGAGAGAGAGATTGCGCGGAGGAGAGGCGGGTGGGGCAAAGGCAAGGCAGGGCGTACCAATGACGCAGCGGGCGGACTTGGCTGCACTCGGGAGTTTCTTGACACTGCACACAGGGGGAGGGAGGGCGCCACGAGTGCACGGGTCGTTGATCAGGTGGGGGGGAAACAACAACCGAGCGGCGTTAAGAGCATAGGAGCGTGGGAGCAAGTTGTGGCTTGGAAGGCGCAGGGATGAAAGGCGCACCTGGAGTTGGCCTTGGTGTAAGTGACCAACGCGTCTCCTGTGCACTGCTGGGCCTGGAAGAACTGGATCGCGCTGCAAGCAGCCTTGCTAGAATCGCTTCCTTGCCACGACACCTGCACCTGCGCCTTCGCAGCAGCCAACGTGGAAGCAACGTTGACACAGCGGCTTGACGAGAAGCTGATTGGGGTGCTTTTTATCTTCGCCTGCGTGCCAATGCGCACTGAGACCCGCACGCTGCTAAGTCCTGCGTGCGACGGCTGCAGGAGACACGCTGGAAGAGAGGCGGCACGCGGCATTGGGGGGGAGGGGGTGGGTTTACACGGATGCTGGCGGGGGCGTGTTGATTGGGCATGCATCAGTGTCAACACGACGATGCACATGAGAGCACGGGCACAGAGAAGGAAGCGAATGACGCGAGTGGCAGAGCGTACCGGCGATGACGGCGACGATGGCGAGCAGCGCACGCACGGCCTTGCCATTCCCCATGCTGCCGGTGACGATGGTTCCGGTGGATGGACGGTGCCCTTTCTTCGCACTTGAACGCCTCGAGTAAATCCGAGAGCAGGAGGAGCAGCAGTCGTTCAGGCGAAGCGATTCGAGAGGGAGCAGGAGTAGCAGCGGTTGCTAGAGGGGTGATTGGCGCTAGAAATTGGTAAAGCAGAAGAGATGAGGAGACTGATCGGCCACGGGTGCTTAAATGGGCATCGCAGGGAGGCTAGCGTGCGGCGCATCATGCGCGCAACGGAGCTTCTGCGCGCGGAAGCAGCCCGCGACGGGCGCGGCGAGGTTTCGGCCATGTGCGACCGCTGCGACAGGAGTCGCTGCAGGGAACGCGTTCCTTTAGTCGCCATTTCGCCTTCGGATGGAGGTCTGCTGAGTTGAGTCCGCTGGCAAAAGGAAAACGGAACTGTATTTATTGGACATCGAATTATTAGGGGTGCTGAAGACAATTCGCAGGAAGGGCCCGTTCCCATTCCCCGTAAATGCTAGGATCCAGATTCACTGTCAGCGCAATGTTTGCTCAAACCGGAAAACAGGAATAGAACGAAGAAGTCGTGTTCGAAGAATTATTGGTGGCGAAGGCAAGCTGAATGTTGACACCTGGATTGAAGGCCCCATTCCCGCTGACTTCGGATCGCGTAAAGATCACTTCCGCAACAATAACGCATGGTATTAAAACCAGGGTCTCACGTACTGGACAGCACCATCAACTGCAAAACATTTGAGAGCTGGTTACCAGGTTTTGATGCTGGCGATACTCCAAAGAGGGTTGGGTTGGGAACGGGGTGCAAAAAACAGTCACCAGGGTGCTTGAAGAGTGTTGCGACACATCTCATCGCCAATGTGCGACGCAGCCAGAAAGCACAGCCAAAGCAAATGCATACAAAGCACAGCCACACCCTTATGAATTACAACGAAGTTCCATAGAATGAAGGTCTGAAAACAAACAAAATCTCGCCAAGATCTCTTATTGGTTAAAATGCATACACGGATAGACTGTTTATATAATGATATCATCTGGACCTGCAAAATCATGCCAACCTCCTAAGTTATGGTGCTCCATGGACAGCCATTGGATGTTCATGGCTTGCTTGCAGTACACACACGAATGAGAATGGCCGAGGCTGGAATGGATTGTTAAAAGCCGGGACGTGTGTAGACTAGAGTGAATAGATCGAAGCCATCAGAACAAAGGTCAAAGCAGGGTCCTCGCTAGTATTGCAACAACATCCATAAACAAAAATAAAGCCCTGACCTGTTACGAATAGTGATATTTGATATTACTGTGCACTCCTCACCGCAGCAAAGAGAAGCACGCAGTAACGAGAATGAACGCGAACCGTCAGACGGTTGGAATTGACTCGAAGCGACGGACAGTTGGAACGCATCTGGACCGTCGGAAGCAGACGACATCGGGCAGCTGCAGGCAGGATGGTTTTGGCGGGAACAGTTACGAAACTGTACGCGCCGCACGGTTGGGAGTGAATTTGAATAAGGGAATTGTCAAATGTTGTAGCCTATAGTGAGGTTTGTCTTAGGGGGTACAAAACTTAGGGTTAGCTATATGTACCCCAACCAACATCAATGCATCATCCATTTCTCATTCTGACATGGTATCAGTTAGGTTAGGATCCTGTGGGATCCCGTTCCTCCGTTCTCCGTTCGAGCCTCCCGAGCCTGATCCTAGCTCTCATTCGTCCCGGTTCCGTTGTTACCGCGCGTAGTGCCGCGCCTAGCGCCACTCCTAGCGTCGCGTCCTGCCCGCCCTTTCCCCCTCGTCGCGTCCCTTTCCCCCCGTCGCGTCGCGCCCTTTCCCCCCAGTCGAGTCGCGCCCTTTTCCCCCCGTCGCGTCGCGCTCTTTCCCCCCGTCGCGTCGCGCCCTTTCCCCCCGTCGCGTCGCGCCCTTTCCCCCCGTCACGTCGCCCTGCCCCGTCCCGTCGCCCTGCCCCGTCGCGTCGCCCTTCCCCGTCCCGTCGCCCTGCCCCGTCGCGTCGCCCTGCCCCGTCGCGTCGCCCTTCCCCGTCCCGTCGCCCTGCCCCGTCGCGTCGCCCTGCCCCGTCGCGTCGCCCTGCCCCGTCGCATCGCGCCCGCCCTTTCCCCCGTCCCGTCGACCCTACGCCCTGGCCCGTCGCCCTAGCCCGTTCTTCCGCTGCGACTAAGTCCCCCCCCCCCCCCACCTGAACCCTAATTTGCCTCTTACCTCCTGCTGTTACTCGCCTGCTCGTTCGCGTTAGTTCTCGCTATGGCGACTCCGCGAGTTCTTCGTTTCGACGCTGACGGTAGACCTCTTGACTTTTCCGTCTGGCTTCTTCGCGCTCGCCGTCTGTTAGAGAGTCAAGTCCAGGGGGGCGAGACCCTCTGGTCGCACGCTACTGGTGACCTCCCCGAGCCCCCCGAGCCTGCCGCTTTAGGTCCTGCCCCTGACGATGCTGCTACGGCTCGCTTTGCCCGTCAGCGCGCTGACAGGACGGCTTGGACGTCGCGTGACGCTGCGGCCTGCATCGCACTCAGCAGCCTCCTCCCTGAGTCAGAGGAGGTCCACTTCACTCAGGTTCGCACCGCTGCTGCGTACCTCACTGCGATTAAGGCCCGCTACTCTACTCCCGCTACTGTCTCTCTTGGCCGTCTTTTCCTCCCGTTCCTGTTTCCTGATCTCGCCTCGTTTGAGCGCTCTGCTGACTTGATCGCTCACCTCCGCTCGCTCGACGCTAGTTACCGCGCTGCTTGCACTGAGGCACAGCTTGCACTGCTTCCTCCCCCCATGGCGATTACTATCTATTTCATCGCCACTAGCCTCCCTGACCGCCTTGCCTCCGTACGTGACGCGCTCCTGCTGAAGCACCCTAGTGAGCTGACAGTTGAGGTCCTTGAGTCTGCGCTCAAGGACGTCGAGAGCAACCTTCGCTCGGTAGCTGCCGCCTCTGGTGCTGTGCCCCCCCCACTCTTCCACGGGTGCACAGTCCCGCAGTTACCCACCTTTACTGCCTCACTTGCCACTGCCGCTACTGACGCGACTGCAGCTGCTGTTACGACTGCGTCGCGGTCCCGCGGTAATAGTGGCAAGAAAGGCGGTTCTGGTGGTGGTAGTGGAGGTGGAGGCGGAGGTAGTGGAGGTGGCGTTGCGCCTGGCGGCGGTGGAGGTTCAGGGCCTGGAGAGGCGCCTCGTGCAGTGACTGGTGACTCCACTGCGCCTGCTAGTGGTGGCGACGCCCGAGTTCGTCAGTCGCCTCCTGTACTTCCTGCCCCGGTTGGTGGAGCAGCGGCGTGGTACCAGGCTCAGCGTCAGCAGCAGCTTCTGCAGCACCAGCAGCCCCTCTCCTCCCAGCAGCCTCAGCAGCAGCAGCGGCAGCAGCTGGCTCCAGGGTCGGGGCTGCGTCAGACCCAGCGTGGTGCTGCTTACACTCCCTGCACCTACCAGGTTCTGACAGGCCCTCGTCGTGGCCACCCTTGTGGCCGGTTTCACCCCCCTGGTCAGTGCTTTGCTCAGCTCACTGACACGGTTCGTTTGGTCTACGGGGTTGGTGCTCCTGCCCCTGACTGGCTGCCTCTTGTTCAGCGCTACGGCTCCGCTCTGTGGGGCATGTCTGCTGAGCAGTTAGTTGATCTGATTGGTACTCCCCATGCTATGTATGCTGTTGTTGACTCTAGTGTTTCTGACTCTGCTTACTCTGGTGTTGTTAGCTTAGGTGCTAGCCTTGCTCAGTTGCCTGTTGCTAGTGTAGGTTCTTGTGTAGACTCTAGTCCAGCGGCTACCTCAGAGGACGGTTCGCTGTCGTTCACGCTGGACTCTGGAGCCTCTCACTGCTTCTTTCGTGACAGCACGACACTTACGCCTCTTCCTGCGCCTGTTTCTGTGGCGCTGGCTGATCCCACTTCGGGACCAGTCACCGCGCGTCACACTACCACCTTGCCGTGTCCGGCTGCTCCTTCTGGGTCTCTCACTGGGTTTCACGTCCCCTCGTTCTCCCGGAACTTGGTGGGCGTGCGACCCCTCGTGAGTCAGCACGTGGGTGTGTGGTTTGAGCCTTCTGGAGAGACTGCGGTGTGTGTTGACGGGGACTCTTACCAGCCCCTCGCCACTTTTGCTGCTGAGCCGGGCTCCGGTCTCTACACTCTTCACACTGGCCCGCGCGCTCAGCAGCGACTGCAGCAGCAGCAGCAGCCGCAGCAGCGGCAGCAGCAGCAGCAGCCGCAGCAGCAGCAGCGGCAGCAGCCGCAGCCGCAGCCACAGCGGCCGCCGTCGCAGCAGCCACTCCTCCCAGTTCCTGTCCCTCCCCCTAGTCTCCTCCCTGCGTCTCACCAGGTGGTTCCGTCCCCTCAGGTTGTCGCGTCCAGTCCAGTCGCTGCGTCTTGCTCCTGTCGGTCGCTTGCCCACCCCACCGTTCTGTGGCACCACCAGATGGGACACCCTTCTCTTCCACGTCTGCGTGCTATGTCTAGTCAGCGTCTGGTCTTAGGTCTCCCGCGTGTCTTGCCGTCGCTGCCGCCGTCCCTTGCACCACCGTGCGGTCCTTGCGTCGAGGGTAGGCTGCGTGCCACCCCTCACTCCTCCTCCCTTCGTCCGGCCACCGAGCCTTTTGAGACGCTGCACTTGGACGTCTGGGGCCCCTCTCCTCGCCCTGGCCCTGAGCGTGAGCGTTTCTTTTTGGTGGTCGTTGACGACTACTCCCGCTACACCACAGTGTTCCCCCTGGCGAGGAAGTCTGAGGTGACTTCTACGCTGATCAGGTGGTTGCTTACCACCCAGGACACTCGTGGTCGTCGTGTCAGCTGTCTCCACTCCGACCGCGGGGGCGAGTTTCGCTCCGGCATTCTCGCTGGATTCTGTCGCGAACAGGGCATTCGTCAGTCCTGGACGCTTCCGGAGTCCCCACAGCAGAATGGGGTTGCTGAGCGTCGCATAGGCCTGGTCATGGAGATTGCCCGCACCTCCTTGACTCACGCCCGTGCCCCCCATTTCCTGTGGCCATACGCAGTCAGGTACG